TGTGCGCTACTGGTGCAAGTCACAGGCGAGTTGTCTGGTTACAGAAGTGGTTTAAGTATTGAGTCTTGGTGGTCTGGATTAAAATACTACAGTTAAAGTGTACGAACTCTTTATTGTCTTTTGTTGTGTTAAAATATTTGCGGAAGAATTTTTTTATAACATATATCTAGTACAAAAAATTACGCATTGTGATCACACCCAGTTATGTTATTAACCCGATATAATCGGAAGCGAGACATTGTCAGAATCAAAATAATATTTAAAAGTGTACAAAAAGATAACAGTAAGATTTTTCCGAACTCGCGGATAAAAGAAAAACTCCAAATCACAAACACATTTGCGAACAGTCCTCGGACAAGGTTGTCAAAGTTAGCGGCCAACGAGCAGGCGGGTCACTTGATGTAAGTGATCTGCGCCACTGCTGGACCTAGCCTTAGCCAACCAGAGTATGCGGCAGTCGCTGGTCGCGTGTGACTTAGCGCCGTGGTAGGGGACATGAACTCAAAAGCGCTATGTGCACGCCTAACTTTGTGCGGGAAACTTTGCAGTCGCAAGGCACACCTCCCTAATTGGGTAAATATAGGAGGCGAGCAAAGTGCCCAATTCATAGATAATTTACTACTATCAGATATTAACATCATGTTACAGAGCAAATATTGCTTAATTTGTTTAGTTGGATTTTTTTTTACTATTTCTGTAAAATATAGCTCGTTGTGTGTATAGACGCTTTACAATGTTATTAATGAGATGCATAATACATTAAATAATTATAATAATGCACTTATTTAATAAATTTAATAAAAACAAACTGCATAAATTGAATACATTATTTGTCCCTCTATGAAAACAAAATCAGAGAAAACAACAAATTCACAAGTTTATATGCAAAGTCCCGTCAATAAATTGCGCATTGTAAAAGCCTATTGTATATTAAACAACTATTTTAACATCGCAGGTAAACGCCGGAGTCGGGCCAACACTTAAAATTCAAACTCTTGGCTCCGAAACAAATCCTTTGACAACTTTTATTTTCTTTTGTTGTATTCGAAAATAGTTTTTAATGTTAACGTTATAAGGTCGGAGGTGGTAGTAAAGTGAGCATTTTAAAGTTTTACAAGCGTTTTTAATAATGTGCGGGACATGTAAATTCGGGTGAAGTTTTCCAATAAAAGTTGCAACGCTGTTCGAGTACTGCGCGCTCGCTTCGTAGCGCATCTGTGTAGCATTCGGCTACGTGTGCTACACTGTCGTAGCAAGTGCTACAAGTCGTAGCAGGAGGCATATTTAATTATTCCATACAACATAGCATGAAGTTTACGAGTAGCTGTCATTGGGTACGCAGTGCAACAGTCAATATTTTTGTCACTCTCCTAATAGTGTCGTTATATACTAAATGCACGTAGAAATTCCTACAATCTTAAATGTATGTGATAATATATTAAAGAAAATGTTCGGCTAACGACTTCTTCAATCGTCAATACATTGCACACAAGGTTTTCAACAATGAAAATAAAATTTTATTCTGTGTAAGACACATTGCAGTCGGTAAAGAAGTAAGTTCCGCGTTTGCGATGCACGTGCCTACTGCACGGGGGAGCGTTTACACGAACTTGCTACTAGAATTGGGAAGAGAATTGAATGCTAAAGTAACCCTTTTAAGTAACCCGATTAAGTACAACCGAGTACAAAGTCTTCAATTATCCGAAATGTTTATTTTTTACAAAAATAACATAAATTCCCAAGTAATTTAAAAAAATTGATTCAATCTCGCAAGTATTGGACTCCCTCTTTTTCCTTTTTTATTTAACCTCAAATTGACATTTCAAAATGTCTTCGTATTAGTCAGTTAGAGGGTGACGACTCTTAATTAATAAATTAGAAAATAATTTGAGAAAGTTAAGAGTAACGAATGACTTCCTGTTCGTAAGAGCTATCATCATTAATCATAGCTGTGTATTCAGACACACAATTGTCGCTGGGAACATTTCTTAACTTAATGTAATTATAATTTCTTCTACCGATCACACTTCATTTATTATTTGATCACGAAATTATATTCTGATTTGACGTTCATTACTTGTACGTTTCATGAACGATCGGTGATTATAGATATAATACGAATATCGATGTTGAAGAGTAGCTCAATACTAGAAGTAGTGGTCGTCATAATTAATACATTAAGGGTAAAACAATTCAACAGCCTTCACACTTCGGGTTTTTTGTTGAACTAGAAGATCCGCGACGATCAGTTTTGATGTTTCCAATCCATTATATTTACAACTGCATAAAATAAAAATTGTATTAGGTGAGTAGAGTGAAGTATATGCTAGTGAAGGCGGCACGAGCAGGCGAGCGGGCCGGCGGCGATGGGCGGCGGCTGCGTGACTGGAGCCCGTAAGTATTGCTTTGACATAATAGACGGAGATAAAGTGCCTACCTACAAATATACTACACATCACTACTTGAACTAGGCAAGCTAAACTGTTCTAACACATTACCATCATCCAGCTGCTGTACCGTAACAGCAAGATTTTTATTCTCCGTCACCCACAGGGGACATAGTGATTTGTCACCGGTAATATAATAAAGCCCATGCCCAAGCCCATTTATATATTTTGCGTAAGACTTACTACAAAGTGCAATTAATGCCATAGGCATTTTTTGTCAGTTGAACCTTCGGGTGATGCCTAAAGACGCCAACGGTAGATGCAAGAAGTAAGTAAAAACGCGTACTTACCAATTGTAGGCACTTACATAAATATTATATAATCTTTATCATCATCATCATTGGCCATCGGCCGTCTGTCTTACGAGCTACTTGGCCTACCCATCCCTTCAATGCCTGCATTGATGTATGGGCAACCACTTCAATTGCATCCCAGACTTCAGATAATTTACAAATCAAAAAAGAAAATTATTGTAGTAAATTCGTTTTTTAATCCAAATTAATCTTAGACTATAGCCGGCCAGTCGTGTTTGTGGCCACTCTTATAAGGCAGTTATCATGAAACCTAATTATAACAAAAATATTTTAAACAAGGTAATCTTATAAAAAGACACTAAGATAAAACACACATTCATTCAAAAGACTTAGCGTCGCTCCAATTATGTAGATGAAGTTAAGATTACACGCACACGTACAAGACGAGGCCGCGGCACTCAATCGGTGGTTCCACAAAAACTTGGAAAGTAATCATCATACAAACAGCCTCCGTTATGTCTTCCCAGAGCCACGAGTAATATGGCTGAGGACAATACAATTATCCTCGCGAAATTGTCTCTAGTTAGAACGAGTTATTCCGTCCTCACCGTTAAGATTTAACATTACGATGTAATCAACTCGTTTACTTATCTCATGCAAAAACAAGATTAGTATTATGTTATCGCTAGTATGCTAAAATCATATCCAGGATTACCTTACAACATATGCCCTTTAACTTTATATTTCCGTGTCATGCTGCGCTACAATCATGCCGTGAGATTATGGCAACAGATAGCACCAGTGTTTGTGTATTGTAATATTTCCTAATTCGTTGATGTGCTATTGATGCTGGTCGTAGCATCCGTCTTTAGGATTAATGTAAATAAATAAATAACAATAATTAATAATTAATCTCCATCTATTTTCACTAAATACTATGGTATATATGGTAAAATACTATGTTACAATAGTCAAAGGTTAGACATTTTCAGCAAAAGCATAGATTGCAAATATCGTGTTATAAAATGTTAGACGTAAAATAAAAACAGTAAGTTTTACGAATAAAAATCATATTTTTAACTTTTGATTTCAATAAATTCATTAACACTTTAAAAAATATGAGAATTCAATCAATTATAGAATATCGTTTGTAATATTTTAACTATTTCAACTGAATTGGTATTTTATTACAAACACGGACAGACATATGAGTGACTTGTTTATTTATAAAATAACTGAAAGTGAATCGATGTAAATATTTGTATTTTGTAAAGTAGAAGATTGTTATTTTTCCATTCCTATTAGTTAGCGGCGCGGGCCGCGAGCCGCGGGCTCAGCTGAGACGGGTGTTATTATAATCCGTCCGTCTATCTGTCGCACTGACATGGGTTAAGCTCCGAACAGCTGATGTTTACACCCGTGCCCTTATTTACTAGCATTTATATTTTTCTTGAAGAATCCAACAATTGCTATTTTTATTGTAGTACTTTTGGTGTTACCTTACGACAAACTATTTTAAGTGAGACAGTGCTACGAATAATATGTGTGGGAGGCCCATGCTTTGGCACGTATGAAGCGGCTCGACCGGAGTGATATCAGGGCTTTACATACAACGACATGAAACAATATTTATAAATGTTATGTTTTGCCGTGTGAATGATTGGAGTATAAATTATGAAACTGTCTATTGTTTATGACAATTATTTATAACATTACTTCTTGTTCCGAGTCTACTAAATCCCAAAAGAAAGTGGCAGATAAGAATATACATATATTTGCCATTTCCCGCGGGAGTCATATGACTTCTCTAAGGGAATGCACTCGCAGCAGAATACCGGCAGTAAGGTTCTTATATAACCTCGACTCTATAAATTGTGGTTTCTAGCCCGCTGTCAAGCGTGGATATTGAGAGAACATCATTTGCCTGTACTTAATTATTTAAGTTTCAGAATAAGTACATAAGCTACTTTTTTGTGGTAGAAATATTCTATGTCGTCGTTATGTGTCTGGCCCAGGCTAGACCCACCTATGGTGGTCTAAAAAGAAGTACCTACCTAGAAAACATGACACGTTAAAAATAGTGGCGAAATATTTTACTTTAAAATCAGTTTTGTAAAATTTTGGGTGATGAGAGATGAGTCGGTTCAGTAAGTCGTTGAAGTTTAAAAATTTCATATTCGTTGTTTAATCTACATATAAGTGGAATAGTAAAACAATTTTGTACCAAAACAAAACATCATTGATTGCATAGACTACTCGTTGCCAGTGATTGAAAAATGTACCCAAAGTTGTCGGCATTATGCGAGATATAATCCTTGTGCACTCCGCTGTTCTTCTCGATCTACTATACTCCGTGGCTTCGGTCTATCTCCAGCATCGTCCAGTGGTGCCAATGCAGGATTTTTATCATGCACACCGGACGACTTCAGAAATACCAAGTTCGCAGGGGGCTTACTCTGCACAAAATGCCATCGAGTGGCGAGAAAAGTATTCGGATAGCATCGAAATGTTGGTAGATCCTGTTACACGCACCGTGCCAGACAACTTTATGTGGCAATCATATCGAGGAATGTCAAAGAAAAAGTATTCACTGAGTCCCCAGTTTATAGATTGGCTAAGTTTCTACGACTGGAGTCAGTTCAGCCCGATATATCTAGGGGATGCTGTTACTATTCCCGAGTCCGGTAACAATAAAAAGAACACGGGAAATATGTCATCCACGTTATCAACTGTTTTATATCCCGAACAAAATAATCCGCCGATAGATGAAGCTGCGACTCCGAAAGAAGGTGTACAGTGCGTTGGTCTGGCTAATTGTCAGTCACAGATTTGGAAGAAAAGGGCTACCAGAAAGAGTGTGATACGGAAGTTCACGAGTCATCACTTGCTGAAATGAGCTAAACTAACTCAATAGTCTGCTGGGACCTGAGGCTAGGCTTCATTTGTGATATTGTGCTGCAACGAACTGTACACATGTTTGTCTAGTTTTGTAATGAATTAAAATATAGTTTTGTACATACTAAGATATTATTCATAAAAATTATTTAGTAGTAAGTAGTTACTTCCGTGCGGTTTCACCTGCTGCACGGCTTCCAGCGAGATATTTTATTAATACTTATAGCCTTCCTGAATTAAAATTAATTGTTCCATTCAAACCACCTGCAGTTCTGAAGCACGTTCACGTAAACAAACAAATTCCTTAGCTTTTTAATATAAGTATAAACTATGATATAGTTATGTGTTTTTTTTAATATTCTAATTAAAATGTATTAAAAGGGGACAAGAGCCTGGTTATTCATTAAAAATTCCTAATCCACATTATTTTTAATTTATTTTAAATTACAAATAGAAACATACAAAAATAATTTCAGATCTGTTCTAAACAAATGTCAATAAAGGCATTTATAAGAGTCAAAAGTTTAATTTTATAAAAATATAAAAAATGTATTAACTAGTGTATTTATAGTGTTTGATTAACTATTCCTTTTTTGTAAGTAAACAATATCTACTTATGCCTATAATCAAAGGAATCTAGATAGATATATTTTTTGTTGACATTTCATCATCCTGCGATCTCAACAATTATTTCTCGATTATTAATTTCTCTCAATAATATCTTGTCCGACGCATTTATCGAAGTCAAGACCCAAATGTTTGGAAGTGAACTACTAAAGCTCAGTCGACGATAAATTATGTTGATGATGTTGCACCTACATTACTTCCATAATATAACTCGGTTTTAGAAACATTATATAACAAGAAGTTTCTGAAAATTTGGTTAACAATTGAAATTAATTTCAATCCAAATCACAACATGACCGCATTAATCATCGCCCCACCTCCATCCAACATATGCAATCGTTTGTGTCGTGGTCACTTATGTGAGACATGAGTATCATAAGTGGCAAGTAATGTGGTACGTTACGCTCTACTATTTGATATTTGTTAAGCAATTTGTGATAACACTAGCTCCTCAATATCGCCCAATAGTAGGAATGGCAACCTACCAGCAGCAGCTATATGCGCTCAATCCTAACCAACCTGTTCAATTGAAGTTCAAACCAACCTGCGGCCCTGTACCACTTCCGGGGGATAGTTGTGAACAACCGACCACTTGTTCTATCAATGACGAATACATTGGACCGGGAGTACGTCACAGCAACAACATGGTCTGCGATACTGTGAAGCCCCAATATTTACAGGATAACTCCAACCACCCTATACTACGACAGTTAAACAGCATGCAACGGCCTATTCAACCTCCGATCCAGAAGTCTTACCAGATACCCATGCAACCGCAATATAGAATGCCTAACCAATTACCAATACGCTTTTCTATCCGAAATCCGAGAAACCTCCCAGTAATGACATCTGTTAAAATACCCAATGAATCACCAAGTAGAACATCAATCCAAATGCAAATGCCCTTTCACGCTCCGAATCGGATGACAGTTCAACAGTTAGAATACCTGCGGCAGGAGACATGGCCTATAGTGGCTTACACTTTCACTACCACAGCTTCTGCTAAACCAGACATTAAAAAAATAAGGAAACCCAAGCTGCGAGATAATAAAAATACAACGAAAAAACGAACGACGCTGCGTTTATTGAAAATGTCATCGAGCACCAGACCCCCGTACCCAGGAGGCATCAGGCCGGAGACTCAGGAAATTGAAGGTGATTATGTTTTGTGCGACGGTAATGCTGTATGTCATAAATACGTCTGGACAACTAAAAAAGCGAAGACAATAAAGAAGACCAGAAGAAGGCATGATTTGGTGTTGATAAAATCTTTCATTAATAAGTAAATTTGCAAGGGAGTTTTTGTCAGGATTGCTACGACAGACAGAGTACGTGATTGTATATTGTACCGTGCAGGCAGGGCGTTAAGTAGCATCACATGCCAGCTAATTACAAAATTTTGGTTAAATGGATTGTATTTTTTTTTAATAAAGAACATTTGTGCATTAACTAGCTATTCTCGCCCGGTTTCATCCGTTGCTCGGCTCCTACAGATCGTGGAGTGATGTTTTATTGCCTATAGCACTCGGAACATTGTGGCTATCTATAAGTGAAAGCATTTTGGAAATCCGATCAGATCGGTTTCAAAGATTACCCCTCACATACAAACTTACAAACATACAAACTTACAAATTTTACCTCTTTGTAATATTAGTATAGATTATTAGCTGAAAGTGTATCTACTACGTTATGTAATAAATTAACCCCTTATTTAGGCATTTCCATTCTATACATTTGACTTTTTAACAGTAGTGGGCAGGTAGTGTTCGTTTTATTCTATTTAAATAAATGAGCTATTCGTATTGGGTGTCGACTTCATATTCTGAATTTTCTTGGAGTTTTCTAAAAATTGCTCAGACTTTAATGTTGAACATAATTAAGGTTTATTTTTAAAGCAGATATCTAAGTAGCAATGGTTTGAAAAGATGCACAAGGGTTTGACAAATGATAATCACCAAACAAACAATCATGCTAAAAAGAACTATGCTCAGCAGTGGTCTAAACAAAACTGAATAAGGCATAAATAAAATTTGGTCGTTCTTTAAAAATATTATTCGTGTTATGAATTATGAATCTTCATACTTTTATATGGAATGTTGCATTTTTATGATGGTCTTTGTTTCTTATATGATTTCAATTAGCACCGCGAAGTTCAGACCGAATCACAACAATTTAATTGAATTTTTCGTTATCGTTCCTTAAATTTATGTACGCTAGTTCTACATACATTTTCTGATAAATATGGTGATATTTTTTTTATAAAACGTTATGAATATTATTGTTTTGTGTCTTATAACCATCAATACGTTGCATTCAGTAAAAATGTCGCGGTTTGATCATAATAGAAATTGGATGTTGCCGTTAAGTAGCCAGTCATCCACTTTGTCTAGACAATTACCTCAACCTGACTCGGCCAAACGTTTTCTCAAAAGAGCAAAGCCAACATGTGGTCCAGTATCGTTTCCTGACTACAGTTGTGAAGGACCTACTACGTCTTTGGCAATATTAAACAGATTTGAAGGTCCGAAGACTTCAAAGCCACAAGAAATAATATTTGGACAACTACCGCCACAAATTCCAAGGTCATCTTATGAATTAGAAAGAACACCATGGAAACACAAAGTAGGTCTTGATATTATAAGGACATTTAAGAAAGATGTAACAACTTGGAAGTCCATGTTACTTCCACGATCAAATTATGGTAAGTTCGTCGGTACTTTATTTGACTCTATATCAGATAAAAACGATTATACAATTTACGAAGAAACTCGGAGTAGTCAACCTTCAAAAAAACAAATCGGTCATTCACCACCACAATCTCCACATTTTCGATCACATCTTCTTAATAAAGAAAACATGCCAGCTTATCCACCCGTTCTACAAAACATACCAATCAACAGTAACATTATGTTTCAAAACAACAATGTGATGGTTACTGGTAGACCGAAGAACCGATACACGATAAAGGGTCCGTTTCAATATGCGCTGAGTGAAGGTATGACGTCACGATACATAAAACCTCAACTGGACTTGAAATTCAGAGTGTCAGCTCAATACAACCCGTATCGTAATTTACTAATACCAACATTAAGAGATATTAAGTACAAATACAATTTAGCCACATTTTCTCAGCCACCAGTTTTAAATGAGAAAAACCGTTATCAAGGTCTTCGTAATACAAAAACAGTAACATCAAAACCCTTCACTATTCAAAACATAGGCACTGAAGTGTTATCAACACAAAGGTATTTGCCAAGTAGAGTTAATTTCGTTACTATAGCAACAGTGGCCTCTCAAGATGATAGTAATAATCAAATGACAACATCTGTAGTGAAGCAATTTAAAACAGCAAACACAAAAAATAATTCTGCGAGAGCATGGCCTAAATATAAAATTCCAAGTAAAACTTCTGGTAATTTGTCTTCAAGAGACCCAATATTTGATGGTATGAAGTTTCAGCATACTTCTACCAAAGCTAGCAGCAGGTCAAATCTAGAAGAAAACACGAGAGATTATATAATTAATTTTCCTTATACATCACCAAAATTGGAGACTGATGATTTCTCTAGAGGTGAAACAACTGTAAGTTTTTTAAAACAAGAGAATTTACTACGACTTGGAAACTTTAATAACATAAAACAAAAACCTGTTGTCACTACATCCCAAGATGAAGTGGTTGCAAATTCGTCACTAAATAAATTATTATCTGATGAATCGCAGACACGATCGAACACCGTTAATAGTGTGCTTAATACTGGAACAACAATAAATATAAAACATGACATTAGTATGGATAGTCCTGCAACAGATAGTGACAATATAGCTGTTCTAAGAGATGCTCCTGGCAGTACATCAGCGCCACCTACGTTTTACAGAGAATTTGGTAGCAATACAACACAAATTTGGAATGTCATTAATCAGTCCATGTCTTCACAGGAAACAACGTACTCTTATAATTCTAGTACAACAATGAAAACGACCGATAATTATACAGTTCCGGATATGTCAAAAAATTTGTCTTTAAGTGTACCGGTGCAAACTAACACATCACAAAGAACAATGTGGGCAAATAATACTATGGAACAGTGGGGACTTAATAAATCTGATAGTAATGTAGTTACAACACCTGTAGATAAATTACTACAGAGTATGATGCTTGGTTTGGCAGCAGGACAATCATCTGAAACCAAATCTAAAGATGGACCACAAAGAGACATTTTCCCCCTTGATCTCATGCAATATGGAGTTACGTCTGATGATATGGTTTTACCATAAAGTGAGATAACTCGTGTTACTCGTACAACTGGTAGAAGTGTGATATCCCAAATACACATGTCGCCTAATGAGCAGCGAGGTAGTTGCTTTCCATAGACAGAAACCTAAAGTGCGTATTTTTAAAATTTAATTATATTTTATAGTAATTTTATTCTAGATATTTGTACGCCTTGGACGACAAGATATAGCGTTCATTTTATGTTTACATCCCATCTGTATCTTACTTACCTATGCTCTACAAATACAATATCCGATTCTTATTCTGATTCTGCTCAAGTTATCACGTAATAAACTACTCTGTAACGAGAAAATGTGTACTGCAACCGGAAGCGAGAATTAGTAGTAGAGACGTGCAGATTAATCATCTTAAAGACGATAAAATGCACCTGACTAGTTCTTTTCTTTTTTTAAGATTGTGTGTTTGTCTTCATTCTGTGGAGTTCCCAGCTCGATGATACTGGTACCCATAGCCAGAAGTAACTTGCTTCTCCAAAAACAAATCGATGTGTTTTCATGTTCTTTGGGTGAACCCACAAGGTTATTATTGTGTATATTATACTACAAGCCAAATAATTGGTAATATGTTATTATTAAAGTACTTAGATAAATTTATGTGTTAATGTAGTGTAGTTTAAGTTCAGTAAAATAAGTACATATTTGTATAAAATGGTTTCGTCTCATATATCTTGTTTTAATTTTTCTACTTGTATTGTTCTTATCGACTGCACGGTTGGTGCGGTGGCTGGGCAACTGGCTGCCCTGCAACGTGTCGCGGGTTCGATTCCCGCACGAAACAACACTTTGTGTGATCCATGAATTGTTGTTTCGGGTCTGGGTGACATTGTATGTTTGTAAACGCACCCATAACACAGGAGAAAATCCTAAAGCGGGGCAACGTCTTTAAAAAAAATAAATGTTTAATAATTTTGATTTTATTTGTTATTATTGTATGGTATATTGTATTCTAAGTTTTAGTTTGAAGTTGTATCTGTCGCATTATGGAAAACCTTGTAAAGATATAATTATTAGAGAAATTAATAAATGCAAATAAATGCATTTAAAATAATATAAGTTAGCATGTAGTTTAAGTATCTTCATTGTGCTTTTATTTGTGTACACGCTGTGTTGCGTAAGTACTTAAATTTTATAATTTTGTTGCCATTTGTGTACGTGTGATTAATAAATTAATATTGCTAGGTATTGCACAATAAAACTGTTTATTAATCAAAATTACTTTATTTATATTGTATGTAATACCGCACAAAGTTCATGGCTTGCGCTACATTCACGGCGCCGGCGTATAGTACTTTCCCTAAATGCTGTTACTGCTACTTAATTTTGGAAAACAGAAATCTTTTCAATACAATTGTTGAACGACAATTTAAATTAAATGAGAATTTTATTACTTGCAGTGTTCATGAATACACGAACATCATATCATCATAGGTTCAGAATAAAATACGAAAAGCAAAAAGTTTTTAATACCACGTCAACAGCGTATTGTTGTAATTTACAATTACATTCTTTCTATCACTACCTACCTTCACATTGTGACAGCACCCGCAAATAACTTTGGAGTTTAAAGTGAAAATAAAACTACTACAAACTGGCTAACTTATTTCATCAAAAAATTCTACAGCAAAGATGTGAACCGGAATAGTACTCAGAAAACTGGCGGTAAAGCCACCCTGTATGTCAATGCTAAACCTCTTTTCACAGTATAGACCGGCCCACTGGCTAAATCGGGGTAAGTACTCAATTTAGATTTAGATACAGTAGACCTGACGATAAACCATACTTATAAGTTAAAGATTTGATAGTTATACATAATAATATTATTATAAAGTAACTAACAAAAAACATTTATGTACATGTAAAACAATGAATATGTTACACATAAAACCTACGACCAACACTTATGTAAATTGAATTACACACAATTACATTTTCCTATAGGAATCACTTCCTGCAGACCTGTAACAGGAAAAGTAATTCAAATACCTGACACACTGTGTAATAAAACCACACGTAAATAAAAATACGCGTTTAACACATTCCACGAAAAAAATATAATCTACAGTCTGTGTTAATTGTTCTGTTTCACACGCACAAGGCGAGTGGGACAACGATAAGGAATTGAAATAATTATAATAAACCTCGAAACTTTACTTAAGCAAATCATAGCAATGTGATTACCATCTGTAAATTACAAAAACACTGTTAATAGATTTTTTACATCTTTGTGTAATGTATGGCGAACGAATGTAAACTAATACGTAATGAAATTTTACTTCAAGTTCATCATCTTCTCCGTTGGAATCCTTAATAATTTGTACTCAGTAAATTTAGCCAGTATTTCATTGATTCCAAAGAATTCAGTTAGTTCTTCAATACCTTCAAAATTAGGATCTTCCATAGATACACCCACTCCGGGAATATCTAGGAGAATGAAACCTACTTGTGGCCCGGTGCCGTTCCCTGATTATAGTTGTGAAGATGTTGGTATTTCCCAAGGAAAACCATCACTATTAGCTGATACCATATCATGGCAGATTACGAAAGAGGTGCCAGGAGATGAACTTTCTCAGCCATTTGCAGATCAGCTTCTGAACCAGGCCATGTTTTATGGCGAGCTATCGGATTACGGGTCGACGTCAGTGAATCCACCAGTGTTTGGGCAGGAGGAGAACATGTTCCTAGGCGAAGAAGCTCCTTACCCTCAGCCTCAAGAAACTGTTCCTCAAGATGATCTCGCAGACGTAGATTTTATACTTCCGACTGAAACAAAAACAAACCAAGAAGTTGCAACGTCACCAAATTATATAAATCAGGATCAGGGGATGCCTTTTGAGGAGGCAGTTTACGACCTGAATCCAGAAACTACACAGGTTTCGCCTGTGACCTTCCGTAGTTTAACATCACAAGTGATGCGTTCACCGGTTTTGCAATTCTTCAGTTCTACTACACCCACCACGACGCAGACTGAAAATGGTTTACTTCGTGACGGAGTAGAAATCATTCAAAAAGCATTCAGGACAAGGAGTACTTATCCGTTCTTCCCGGGGGGCTGCACACCAAAAAAGGATCCCGAACCAACGGAGATCACAATGTGTGGTATTGCTAAATGTCTACAGCTTAAATGGTCAGAAGACACTCTACAACCTCAATTGCAATACGAAGTAACTGAAAACCGTTACCTGATGAAAAGACCAAATGAGAAAGACGAGGACTACATGCACCAAAATCAAATGTAATTTTAATTTTACAGTAGAATGGCGGTGCGGGTTCAAAACCTAGCAAGTACCAGTGTAACTTTTTCTGAGTTATATGTACGTGTGTGTTAAGACATCACCGACAAACGGTGAAAGAAAACAACAAACCAACCGCCAATTCGTCTTGAGCAAGCGTGATGGTGATTAATGCTCAAATCTTCTCCATACGAGAAGAGGCCTTTGCTTAGCAGCGGGCAATTACAGATTGATGATGTGATATAAAGTAAAATACACATTGTTCGACTTCAAAAGAATAACGATTGAGTTTCTTGTTTAATCTTTTCTAATATATAGGTAATATTGATTGTAAATTTATATTTTTCGAGCTTCTAACTTCACTGACGAACAGAACAGAACGTTATTTTTTAACTCATCAAAATTACTTGTGTTTCATTTAGTTGATATTATTTTTATCAACCGATTGAAACAAAAGTAATTTTTGAATTTGTTTTTAAGTTAGTAATGTATTTAATTATTATCGTTTACAGGGAATTTTCTACGAAGAACTGTTAAGAGTTGGCAGACGGAAGGTTCTCGTTAATATTGGAGTGCGTTGCTTGTGTTAGTAGTCACTTAATTCATTTTAAATAGATAATAATGTGCACCATGTTGACATTAAATAATATAATAGCTGAAAAATTTTAGGTACAGATGAAAAATAAATGCTCAGTGTAGGTTTCAAATGCTACATTATGTGACTGCTAAAAGAAATGTTTGCTGAAACGTTGTTATAATTGTTTTATTTATTATCTTAACTTTGTAACGGGATTTCCAACAGGCACTTTGTTTTCTTAGACAAGATAAAACAAATAATTTAACTGCACGGTTGGCGTGGTGGCTGGTTAGTGGCAATTCCCGGAACAACTCGTTGTGTTACAGATTGTTGTTCCGGGTCTAGGTGTGATGCATGTGCGAAATTATGATTCCCACGAGGGACAAGGTTTAAAAAAACTAAAATGACGTAGATGGATATGACTCAAATTTTTATTGTATTACAAAAAGAAAAGGTTGGCAATTATGCATGATAAATTATATCTAGCCACATAGAGCACCATACAGTGACACATTGAGCATGCATCTCAATAATCGCTTTAAGACTTTCAGAAGCCAAACTGCAGCAACGCATATCCACCGTTACGGTTGCCGGAGATCGTTGCTCGTCCTGACTGTCGCCTGATGCGGTGACTGTGGCGTGAGGAAGATAGATCCCTCATGCGCTCCACTCCACTTTGCGATAATGACTGCGTCGCAGAAAGAGGAGACAGCTTTCATGTTCCTCCTTCTCGCTCCGCACTGATCATTTCCCTGAGGACGTGGTGGTATGCATCACCATGTGCTCTGGGTGTTGACGTACACCGGCAAGTGAAAAAGGTCGTCGTCTAAAAAATAGTTGATCATTTTTTGAAAATCCAGCGGGTTGTGCCTGCGTGAATGCAGAGACCATACAGCAATGTGAATGGTCGATCGGTTCCGAGTCTTGCAACAATTGAACCTTGTAAGACTTTAAAGCCAAATCTTTACACAAAATTGGATTTTTATTAAATTGTTGTTGATAACGTTGAGCCCTTGCCAAATTTGATCTTTTTCAATATTATGGCTCACGGCTGTGATATTTTTAATTGAACGACCGGTCGAAAATATGTTGGTGTTGGCACATTTTGTACTGAACCTGTCAAATCAAATTCAGCGAAGTAATTCTTAATAGCGATCTCAGAAGGACGATTTTGTTGCCCGAAAATATCACGACTTTAATGAAATGTAACTTTGAGAGAACCACCATTTTCATAGTGAAATTTTATGTCAAAACTGGCCTGTTGTTGGTGTTGCCCCAATTGGAAAACAAAGCTATTGTTGAAAAACCCTTTAGAACTATTTGTTACTAATTACCACAAAATAAAATGACCGTGCTTTGCCTTAACTAAGTACGAATGAAAACGAAGCGACAGCGGTATTGCTGCCTCGTTGATCGAATAGTCTGTGAATTTTATCCGTTAAAATACAAATGTGCACGCGACCTTTTAAAAATGGTTCTTCGACCTTCTTCGATCTTCTAAAATTTACTTATAAATGTTGAAAAGGTGACTACGGCCGAATGTTGTCAGAATGTGCCATCGTATAATTACTAGGACAACTTAAATTCAACAAGCATATTGTGTATATTTTTATATGAAAAAGTTAGATGATTCTACAAAAACCTACTCGTTAATTATTTTGTAAAATGCAATGTAAAGTTTGTACACAGCAAGCATCATGGCATCTAATAATAATTTCCTTTAAATAAAATCACAGCGTAACAAAATATTGCGGTTCATTTATATCACGCATTTTACTCTACTCTACTACTAACAACGATAAACTTTTATATTTCGATATGCTCAAGTTTTATCCCTTTGTTATTATAGTTTTAATCCTACATCCAGTGAACTTGACATTTTTTAACCTGAGTGTGAACTTTTCCCCGTACCGTCTTGAGTTAACAACATCGAGCCACGCTACAGAGAACTCATCACATTCAGACATCGGCATCGTCAGTAAACCTGCTTGCGGTGTTGAGTCGGGAAGAAACCGTAGCTGTGTGGATGTTAAGTCATTGCCTTCAAAGTTGCCGTTATTTATAAATATCACCAGAAAGCTGCACATCTTACCATCAACTACTTCAAAATTAAGGGAAAGATCTTTGAAAATGGTGCAATACATAACTGAGACGCCAGTCAATACAGGCTCTCTTCCAACTGGAGTAAATATGGGATCATCAGGTAAACAAAGCTTACCAGAAACTGTTGAGGCAGCTTCACTCGTGACGACTCATGCTAACATAGTTATGACAACGCCTGTTAATACTCGAGAAGTGAGTATTGTAAAACATTCATCTATTATAAACGAGTCTGTAACTATGAAACCCCGGGACGTGGAAACACAAGGTCCAGTGCATCAAACTGCTGTGACTAGACGGGACGGCGAGCAGCTGAAGCGCGGTGCGCAAGAGAAAGTCCGCCGCGTCATCTACCAGAACTACGCGCGACCCTACACAGCTCGAATGTACTCCCGCGGTTTAAGACGTCCTCAGAATAAGTGGAATCCATATGAACTTTCGAAGAAAATCCATTTGAATCAGAGAGCTGTTCGTACACTGAGCACTTATCCTTTCTTCCCGGGAGGAACCACACCCACGCGGCAACCGGAACCAACAGAAATAATGAAGTGTGGTATTGCTAAATGCATAATGTTTAAGTGGACGGATGTGGATGAAGGTACACCGAACGAAAATGGCTTAAGGCACGAGGACACATACTTTAGAGCGTCGGAAAGCTTTACCTCTGCCGCTACATACAAGGAAGACTCATTGGAACTCTTTAAAGCGTAACCAGAGTCACGTGCAGAATGCCGAAGCAGTATATTTGCTGTACCACTTTGTAGCAACAGAACGATTGACCAACTGTACCTGGTCTACATCCTACACCTATAAGCTAGTTATATCAGTACTGTTATTTTTTTAATCATGCTACTAAAGACTAAGTTTATGGCGATTTGTGATAATATCTCATGGAAACCTCTTTATTGAGCAGAATTAGATATAAAGATGCTGTAAATGGTTCTTAGTATTTTTATTAAATGAATACGGTTACCTTAAAATTTATTAACATACCTAATGCTTGAATAAATTGATAATTTTGCGTATACTTGTAAGAGGCACAGGCTGACTTAATATTATACAAATAAGAACAGTCATTATGATGTAAGTACATTTTAAATGTTTAGTTACAATCATCTTAAAGCACGTTTATTTCTTAAAAATACTTGAAAAGATCATGAGATACATAATTATGTATACTAAGAAGAAGTTAGAAAGTGCAGAGTGCAACCCTCTTGATATTTATATTATATAAACTTTTTGCTTTACTGTGCATTTATTGAAATATTAAAAATATTATTGACAAATATTATAAAACTGATGTGTACAGCTTAATAATACATTAAATAAACAAAAGAACATCGAACAATTCCTCATCGTTGATGTGCCCAAAAGACTGGCCACTTTCAGTAGCTATACTATAACATTGCTCAAAGAAGTTATTAGCCTAAACACCTCGATTTTTATCGAAGTTTAAATTTAGAATTGCTATGATAGGCTTCCATGGGTAATGACTGCTGAGCTGTGTGTGCGTGGCTCGACGTCTCCGACAGCACGTATAACTGGAAAGATGTAAACGTTGTCAATATTGGACATGCACACGGTATTATATTTATTGTAACGGACGGACATAAAAACCGTCAGGCGTGGGAAACGTGCGCGGGAATATGAAGAAAGGGGATTTACCCTTGTCAACCGTGAGACGGGCTCCGTAATAACCGTGACCAACCCAGATAAAAGGAACTCAATAACAACGTCTCTTGATACAACGTTGCTGCCAGTGGTCGGAGCCTCGAGCCTTCTGCATGTTACTGCTCACACCTGCAACACGAGCGATATCGGTCACATCAGTTTAATTATCAAATCGTTTATTTGCATTTTTAATGTTACGGTTTGACTCATATCCCCCTGAAAGGATGAGAATACTGCGACATGATTTGTCAGTCAGTTTAAGAATTGCACGATAGTACATTCGTTCGTTGAGCTTTCGATTTTCAAGATCGATGAATGTCCTGACACACATTTAAATAAAGACCAATTCGACATTTAAAATGTTTCAGTATTTTGCATCTTGTGTATAAAGGAACGGAAACAACTGCGTATGAGTAACCACTCAAATGAAAATAATACATGAAATTATTTTCATCGCAAAACAAAACAAAGTGGCTTTGGATAAGAGTTTAATATTATTATTTACTTATAGTCGTAGTCGCGTCGAAGTATAACGAGCAGTTTGCGAAACTATGTCTGTAACGAGCAATACATAAGTGATGTGGTGTATTATACTATACTACATCGTAGTCATTGTGCGCCAAGTGTCTACCAACGTGTTCCCATTCCGCTCTGCAATGGTCACGTCAAACGTTTACAGAACAAATATGATGCATCCTGTCCGGTTCGGGCAGCCCTCACCACCGCCAGTACAGCTACAGTCGAGACAGAAGCCTGTGTGTGGACCTGTTCCTTTCCCCGGCTGTGAACCACCTACTACTTGTGTAGAAAATTTATCACCATTACACAGGAACCACCAGCGTGTGTGCTACACCATCCGGAGGTGGCCGAATACAGTACAACATATGATGGTGTCCGTGCCCCAAGTGCAGAGATACTCTCCCATGATGCCCCCAGTACTAAGGCAGATGCCGCCACAAGCCACGATGCCACAAGCCATGATCACAAACCGAATGGTTGTGCTTCAGCCGAGGTCACCTCAACAGTTAAGACCTCAAATGATAGTTTCGCAAAATGTTCAGCCACCACAAAATGTGTACAAACAATTCAATAACTATAAAATGGAAAAAAAATTCCAACAAAATATGACGTTGTCACCCCGTCTTGGGATGCAGAGATCCCGGATCCCAGCTACTCCGGAAGTGACACTACAGTCGTATTTCTATCCTAGAGTGGAGAATGACTACCCAATCCTTATGCCGCTTAAAAATGAGAAAACAAACAAGACAATGGAGGTGAGCACCGCCCCGCCCTCCCCCACCCCTCCTGTGACCACCACCAGCACCATGCCTCCGTTCCCGGGCGGAGTGATGCCTGACTCGGACGACAACGACGAGCCGTTCCTGCTGTGCGCTGGCGGCAAGGCCAAATGTAACAAATATCTCTGGACCACTAAAAAGAAGAATCACAGCAAGAAAACCACGAAAGCTTTGTTATTATGGACTATTTAATCAGTTCCAGGCCCAACACGTCCTACACCTACATTACCTATTTAAAGTAAAGATTTTTTAGATAATAACGTAAAGATTGATAGTAAGTAGGTTTACTTTTACTAGGTACTTAACTATACGATTTTGGATTGAGTTGTTGTCGTGAAATATAAAATGTTGTGTTACTCGATTTAATTGTAAGAAGTATATAAATATGCAGCAGGAAACGTTCAAAATGTGGAATCATTGTCGCAGGTTGTACATAGTGTTAGTCACAATAGAGACATCGAGTGGGCGTCGCGCGTCGCCCGAGCACAAGTAACTCGTAAAAGTAACAAGACCGCACCCGAAGGAAAAATATGATATTGCTTTTAAATATGAAATATTACGCCCAAAGTGTTCTCGTATTATGAAGAAAAGGGGTTGGGAACGTGACGGCCGCGGCCGCGGAGAGCCGATGACTGTATGTATGTCTTGATAGCGATAGCTATAAATTTATAAAAACCGCGTCCTGACTTTAAAATTACTAGTACCTTTTAAAGTAGCCGGTGTTAATGTATATATGAGATGGTCATATATTATTACCCTAAGAGAAAGAGAGTGAGATCATCAAAGCAATGCTTTGAAATCGTCAGACTCATTATGGTTTTTAATAATACTCTCTTTTATATTTACTTACTAGCTTTCGCCAGCGGTTTCGCACGCATTGGATAAAAAGCAGCTTATAGCCAAATAACAAAATCGAAGCAACTTCTCCCGTTTGCTCAACATTACCCTTCACTGCTCTGCTCCTATTAATTGAAGCGTGATGAAAATATCCTATAACCTGCCTAGAAGTATAAAGAATAATTGTGCCAAGTTTTATTAAAATCTGCCGAGTAGTTTTTGTTTCTATAAGGAATATACAGACAGACAGACAGACAGACAGACAGGCAGACAGACAGACAAAAATTTTACAGATTACATTTTTGGCATCAGTATCGTTCACTAATCACCCCCCGATTGTTATTTTGAAAATATATTTCATGTACAGTATTGACCTCTCTACAGATTTATAATCTTGTAGAGATTTGTACCTACCGAATAGACCGAACATGATAAAACTTTCTTTTCACGAGGCTTCACACTAACATTTTGTCTTTGTGTTTTCATACACCATGGTTTCTGTTTCTATAAAATTGAATGTATCTAGGTAAGCTGAAGTCCCTCATCCAAATACATACCTTCTTTCTTTCTTCTTTGCAACAATCAATATTTTAGAAATAGTTGTTGTTGCTATTAACAATCCCATGTACTTAACTACAAGGCATAGTCAACCACGCACCACTTACATTACAAGCTCGTTCGTGTGAAAAATTATATTTTATGGAGTATGTATTTCAGTGGAATCGTAGGTTAGGTCCCGTATCGTAACGCGAGATAAGGCCGGGACGCAGTGGAGCGGGAAATGTTACAAGTGTCGGCGGACCGAGCCTTCGGGCCCCGCACATGTAATACCGGATCAACTACACTTCATCATGTCACTTCAGGGAACTTGGAACATTTTTCCTCGAAGCGTGAGCAGAGCTGCGCATGTCAAGCGTAACACACACTTATGATTTAGTGTTTAAAATGTCGTTTGATTTGGGTATCTGACTTATCACCGGTTGTAGCTAACGCACTTTGTTGAACACATGAATCAATAATTCAACAAATGCTCAATCCTCAAATCTCTAACAATGCTCTAAAAGGGGGGTTACGCACTTTTAACTCCAGCGGTGTTGCGGGCTTCCATGGGCTGCGCCACGTTTACAAGTTTAACGTTTGCTGCCATATAAAATTTTTTGCGATTCTTAAGACACCTTGCTTTTTCATGTAAGTTGCACAAAAAACTGCCATCCACTAATGACAAATTGAGACATTTTAGGATGGACAGTTTGTCATGTCGTAGACAATTTCATGATATGACTTTTCTCTATAAGGTATTAAGAAGTGAAGTTGACTGTCCACCTCTTCTGGAGTCATTTAAATTTCGCGTTCCACGTCGGGTGCCTAGACAGTTAAAAGTCAATGCAGGTTTATTGCAACCACCATTTGCCAGAACCAATTTAAAAGAGTTTTCTCCAATAAATCGCTTGTCGAAAGCATATAATTCTATTTGCGGTGAAGTGGATGTGTTCGGCGATAAGCTATACACATTCAAAAAAGTTGTTTTAGAGTTGTTACGATTAAAACAAGATCGTTAAATTGAACTGAATTTCTTCTTTGTTCTCATTTTATTTCTTGTTTTGTTATTATTATTTCTTTATTTTTATTTTTGTTGTTTAATTTTTTTTTTTAATTACTGAATGGGTATTATAAAACCAGTGTTACCTTATGATGCATGCTGTGACATCTTAAAATGTTGTGCATTTATGTATTATTTTAAAATAATATTAAGTTAAGTTAAGTATTAATGTAACAACTACTGATTGTCCAAATAAATAAATAAATAAATAAATAAAATAAAAATCCAGGGAGGTATCAGACTACTATGCAATTCTAAAATTGATTAAGTCCTGTAATGAAATACAAATACAGTGTTTTGAAAATAAATACTTTACAAACACCTTGCCTGGTTGTGTATCATCAGAAACGGGATAAATAAAGCGGCACATTACAGCCCCAATACTGTGGGAGTGTTTCTATCAACATTAGCCATATATTTGTATCGTTAGCGCGGACTGCGGCCCCAACCATTAAGCTTTCTGTTTTAACGCCACTTGTTTTTCTAACTGCCACGAGCCACTTTAACAAACAGTATTTATTTTCTGCTTCCGATCGGTCGGTTGTTTCAAGAAAAATTCGTTAGCTTCCCTCCTACTTCAGCTGAATTTCGATTAGAAAAAGACAAAGAGCCGATTGCAGAGCTATTGAAAGTAGGGAATCAATTAAAGCGAGCCATAGATTCTCGGATGGCGATAACGTCTGTCAGTGAGTGAGAGCGGCGATAAGATTGTCTGAGCGCGACCCGGCGGCGGCCGGCGCCATCTTTTAATTATTTCAAACGTTTATCGCTATCACGTGTCTCCGTGTAATAGGCCGCTGCAGCCGCTCCACTGCTTCCTCACGCCAGGTGCCTGATGCGCCATCTATAATTGACTGGCAAGGATATCTTTGGATTGGTATCAATGAAAATCTTTTTCATTTAGTACTAATTTTATTATAATGCATTTATTTACATTTTCAAAATCACACAAACTGTACAATAAGGGTATACATATAAACTAGTGATATATCTCTTATTTTTAATAAAAGATATTTATAATTTATACATTAACATATAATATATCTATATTAGGTCGAATTAACAAATAATATTCAGATACGAAGATATATTACGTTTAAAATTTTCATTATTTTTTATTTACTGTGCATTAAATTTATATTTACAATTTGACAAGCGTGAATAGCAAGCTTGGTTATACTATATATGGAAAAGAATCACAAGATATACATAAAGTTTATTTATTAGTCAGATAACACAACAGGGAGTTGGTACCTACATTAAGTTTCTGAAAGGAATGTTGTGTGTAGTATATAAATAACTGTTGAGATCTTATCTTTGGCACAATTTCACGAGGATTATTCTAAGCAAAGCACTGAATCACAAATATTCGTGTGCCGGCAGACTACTCGTCTGCGGAAGGACAATGCACGTATAATACGTAATGTATAATTTAAAATGGAAATGGGAGTAGGAAATACCGAGTAGGTTAACGAGGTTCATGAATAATTACATCGAGCTATTGTGAAAACCCGTGTGCACTGATGGAGGAATCTCAAATACAGTTCCATTGAATCAGGAACGTTTTGCAGACTATTTCACATTCTCCACCGAAACAAACAGTTGGCAGTCGGCGCTGTCAGCTCAGCTATTCCGAACGTTCACAATTTTTTGATAAACATTTTAATGAGCAAATAGGCTATACGCTTAACTTTGAGAAATGTTGCAAAAAGAGACGATTCAAGTTTTGTTACTATTTCCAGATGATAAGTAATAAAGTTATGAAAACCATGATGGAACCTTACACCTACACCTTATGCTGGTATTTGAACTAAATATCGTTCGTATTTGTATAAAATGATCTCTCACATGCATTCTTCGCTCGGGATATGACGTCACAATTTCGGAATGATATGTTTCAATTTCACATTAAATAACATTAAAATTAAACATCGATCACATTCACAGGAAGACGAATCTAAAACATTAGAAAGAAGAAATGAATGTGTTGACATAAATTCCAGTGATAATAAAAAGTAAAGGTGTAACAAAATGAAGGTATTTGTAATAATAATATAATTACACGATGAGGTCCACTTGTACTAACACAATGATCGCCAGGAACGATTGCCGCCAACAGTGGACTCGTCTCGATCCTGGAACAAATGACACATCCCTATAATAAAAATAAATAAATACATTCTCTACGGGTCTTACCCACGAATGTATAAATGAAATAAGAGAAAATATGAAATTGTAATATTTGAATCCGTACTTTGCATGACACATTCAAAAATATTATATTTTTATACGAAATACCGAGAGAAAAGAAAAAATCTTATAAATACACCTATATCAAACGAATGATAAAAAAGTACTTAAAAAAAGGAAAATGACTTCCATTTAAATAAACGGGACATTTAAGTCGTAGAGTTTCCGAGGCCCGCGAGCCCGTGTACATTGGAGTGGCAAGCCACGGCACGCAGTGGGCTGTGCAGAGTACAGTCGCCGGCACAGGTACTGACGCGATATCGGCCGCGCGGTTTCTTCATTCTAAATACATCGGGCGCGTCGCTGAGACCATTGTCGCTATTTTTGTTTACCACGATAAGAGCGTTTCAACAGCTTACGGTCTACTTTCCAAGCTCCGCGAACAATGGGATTTGCTTTGTTTACAACCCTGATGTGTTTGAGTTCGTGCGTTATTTTACATAGCATCGTAAACACGGCCTCTTTGTGATACCTATCACTGAGATTATAATAACACAATTTACGTGGATTTTGAAAAAGAAAAAATGACTGTTTTCACTTTATGCTGTTTTTTTGGTTATGATAATAAATTGTACTGTCAATACAAAATGCAATGATTTCACTCCCGTGTCGGGACGTAAGGGTTGGCGCGGTTATAAATCAATCGCCAATATTCGCACACAACAAAGCGTTCCGGAGGTAAATAAAGCCAAATTCGAGATAAAGATATTCAAGTTTCATATCCCAATATTTATTCAAACGTTAGGCGTCTCTATTTGATATCATATTATTCGGCTGTTCAAACACTTTTTCGTGGAGGGCGAGAGCTGCAAGAATTGATTGTACGCGGTCTGCACTGAATATTTATGAGGGTTAAGTGTGTATGCGAACTCGTTGAATGTTTAATCTCTATTTGGGTGTACGGGAAAACGAGCCGGGTGGATCTCAACCGCAGTAGTCAAGACTGTGCGTTAGGGCGGAGACACACCGACGCTGCGCACTTGTCTGTCGCACGTGTCGATGTGTGTGTAGACCGCAGCGCCTGAGCCACTGTTACAATAATAATGTACTCTGAAATGTTCCTGCCAGCGTATCCCTCGCTCCGTCGTCGGGTCGTCACTAAATCTAAAACTATTTCTTTGTAATTTCCCCTAAACTTGTGAAAACTGACTGTCACTAACATTCGTATGGACTTTTACTGAACTTAGATATGTTATATATTCAAAACTCTTTAGTTATATGCTTTCATTTTCTGATCGATAGATAAAAAGACAACAAATAAAAAAAGGTTCAAACAAAGTTGACTTATGTGCTTTACGAATGTGAGTAATGTTTCCCTGTGAGGCCTTTTGCAATCATGTAAGATGAAGAAAATAACAATCTACAATATTTCTTGCATACACCGTGCCATAAAGCAAAACGACGCGAGCACGAGTGATGTAGCAGCGACAGCGACTAGGTTGAGTCAAACAAAGTCGTGTGCGCTCAGGGCCGGTAATGCGAGTGGATCCACAATTCCTCGAGCAGAGATAAAAGCCCGAAATGCTCTTAGCATTTGGAGTCATTGAAACAATAGCGACGTTCAGGCCTCGTAACATATTCCACAAGCCATTCCGCCGCGACTCCTCCGGCCACATTTATTTTTTACCATGAGACGGGAAAGAGTCGTTTTTAATAATGCAGTATATTGTAACACAGAATACAAAGAGGTAAGTAAAGCCTCCTGTGACTCGACTCGCTTTGTGCGCTATTATATTAAAAGCTTTACGCATTAAGTTTTGGTTGTTTGATGGATTGGTACTATTGATGGGGACGGTACTCGCAAACACAAATACAGAATAAGGAAAATGTAAGTACTGAAAGGTAAAGACGAACGGTACTAATGCCACAAAAGTACTCGTGAGCATTTTTCCTTCCTAATAATGTCATTAGTTTATTATTTGATCTATTCACTAGTTGGACTAGATAATAGTTGTTGTCGTAATAGAATTTACAGACTGCTTTTAATATCATGATTACGAAACCGAATCATCTCTAGCTAAGCTCGTACAGTTGTGCGAGATTGTAATTGACTCTATTCGGAATATAAGAGATATGGTTTTCCTGTTCCAAGATTGCGATAAAATAAACATAACAATCTACGATGATGCGTAAAATGGCGCGTACGTTGCGAGCGTCGGGACATAAGTTGCGGAGTCAACAATGCGTAAAGTTGGGGTTTGATCGTTAGCGAGCCGAGAGGTTAATAAACTGAGCTGATGTGTCACCACACATCTAGGGGAATGTTGCCTTCAATATCTGACATAGCGACACATTACACACTCCGCTTCCCTCGGCCCGCGGATCCCAATGTTGATGAAATGTTTGAAGCAACAGATTGATTCTCGTCGGTGCGCCATGACTGTAGATATTCAAGAGGAAAATATTTTCTTTCCGTATTCATTACACTTCTCAAAGATATACTGTATGAAATAAGTACGTCTTGGAAATAGCTGTAGCTAAAATGTATATATTTTTGTTGTTTAAAAACACAAGCACACCTCCTTACCCTAAGAAATGATGGAAATTATTAAAAATCTAAGAAATGGAAGGCTAAGAAATAGCGGCTAGATCGGTTGTACGTGATCCACTGGTGAGTTTGATCTGGTTACCTGAGACGTGCTGCGGGTGAGGCGGGCGGTAGACGTGGTGCGCGGCGTCGCGGTCGGGCGCGCGGTCGAGCTGCGCGCGCACCACGCTCGGCCGCTCCGTGCCGGGCTCGGCGCGCGCCACGGACCGGCTCACGTTCACGCGTCTCACGCCTGCAACACGCCTCGTCTCAACATGCAGCTACCATGAATGTAAACAACTACCAGCAGTATTGCCCAAGTAGACTCTACGAGTTGTAACAGATTAAACGCATGCAAACTTTTCCTTTAGAATTTTTGGGTATTCAATAAAAAAGTTCAAGTTTTGCATACAAACAAAACTGAGATTTGATTTCTTTTGAAACTAAAATTTTCTATTTCGCGCCAGCACTTGCAGCTCTTGTGTTTTTATTATGGAAAACAAACAAAAATTGTATTGAGTTTTGTTTTTATTGATAAGTAATGTGTAGGTACTTTAGAGATAACACACAAAGGCAAATTGACAACTTGGGTAAAACTGCTGGGTTACAAATAAAAATAATAATATGATGGTGAGAAATCAAATTGAAAAACATTCTTCCAATATAAATGAAATGTAGATGACAAATCTTGGACAGCGTGGTAAATCAGCATGCGAACAGAATTGATGACCCTGATTACTATTGATATTATATGTATATATTAACTTATAGTTCAGTTATGCTTGGTCACGAAGGAGTTAACACGGCCTTACAGAAAGCCGCCGTGGTACAATTGTGTTTCGCTGTATCAGTGAGGACACCTGGAGGCTGCCGCAATTGTAACAGTAACTCTTCTGTTATTAAAGATGTCCATGGCGGCAATGATTGCTTACCATCAGAGTGATCAAAAACCGGTTGGATGAAGAAAAGGTATAAACATATAGGTCCTACTTAAATACTTAGAACATGAACCTACTATAATTCAAAGCTAATCAAGAGGACACCGGACTAAGTAACAAAAGGTTATCGTTTAATCCCGGCCAGTGCGCAGGCGCCGCATCACGTATTATCTCGAAATTGCAAAAGGTTTAATGATTGCGGGCGATTTTAATGCGTTCATCGGCGCTCAGTAAACTATGGCTCTAATTAACATTTTAATGACTTGTTTTACGATAGCCCTCGTAATTACGCACATGTATGTATATTATCTTCGCTATCTATCGTCACCCGCACGTTTCACGCTTTATAGTTTTAATTTCAAATGATGGACTCCGTTAATTATAATAACTAAATTGTAATTTATAATAAAGCCTGATTTTATAATTCTATTAACGATGCTCCAGCAATCAAGTTATGTATTTAACTCGTAAAGTTATGTACATTGCTTATAATAGTTATTATGATTGCTTCACTTTATGGATTATTTGTATACTTACGCCCAAACTGTGTGACATCTGTTGTAATAAATATACAAATTGTGTTTTATTTGTAAACTCAAATATGCCAATAGCAACAAGGGTGAAAATTAGCCTATGTGTTATTCCAAGCTATAGTATATCTGTATGACAAATTTCATTCAGATCCGTTAAGAAGTTTTTACGTGCAACAGTCACAAACGCTCACCGAGACACAAAAATGTTCACGTTTGTAATATTAGTAGGATAACAAAAAATATTTAAATCTGTTCTAATCTTAAGTTGTCTCTCATATCCATGGATGGAGTAGGCAGAAGTCAACACGAAAGTTAAATTAGTCATCACTGCATGTTTACTGTCTCGAAGCCACATCGCGCCGCGCGCCGCAAACTTAGACAACTTTGTAAATCTCAGAGAAATGTTTGCACGTGTATGTTTTACTGTGTATGTATTGTGTATATTAGTTTTTATCTATATTATAAAGTCGAAGAGTGTTTGTTTGTTTGAGCGCGCTAATCTCCAAAACAACTGGTCCGAATTGAACAATTATTTTTGTGTTCGTTATTCCATTTATAGAAAGTAACTTGTATTTAATACTTGAAATTTATTCTTGATACTGATAGTGATAATGTCAGTGAAAAATCTATGCTAACAGCGTATGAGGACCTTTGACACGATTATGACGTTCGAAGCTCTGATTGGATAGCTCCTTGTTAATCAACCAATCAGAGTACGTTAGCATTATACAAATGCACAATGGGCACTTAGCAGGAGCTTTTATAATATTAGCCTTTCTCTACATAAATAGGTTCTCACAAGGTTGGAGACCGCAGCAGTTAATAAGATCACGTTTATTGTTAAGGTCTGATCTAAAATTATAACATTACTCCGGTACTTGTCTACCTGTGTACGAATTTGCTGTATCTATTGGGATTAAAAATTTGGCATATTGCGTTTCTAAATCTTAACAGATTTTTACTTTATTACAAAACGTTATAGTTGGAAATGTATAAAAATTGACAAAGTACAAATGTATGTACTGTAATGTACCTAAAGATATAAATAAGAACTTACTCTCTTTGTTGGCATTGCTTTTCATTTCCGTTGCCTTCGGCGACGTCGACGGCATTGGGATTTCTACGAATGAAACAGAAAATTATTTTAATTATAATTAAAATGTAATTTTATTTAATATTCATTCATCACATATGAGAAATGTTTTCATTCACGATATAAATAAATCATTTTTTTACACAAAATATTCGTCAACTCTATCAATGGGTCAACAACGTACCTATGTATAGATAATAAAAACAATGTTCGGTAAGGGGAATTGCACCTTGTTTTAACATCTTCTTTATAGTATTGTTTTAAGAATATAATAAGTACCAAAGTAAGTACTTTAAAGTAAACTATATAACAAATAAAAACAGTTTTCTTTCTTTTCTTTCTTTCAAATAAATAAGTAACATAAATAAAATACATAGTGTAGTCACAAAGGCTCAGATCAGTAGCGAATGTTAGCGCGCTGTATCTCCGGGACTGAGCCACTAATTACAATGAGAATACGTAATGCCTTTAGTTTCACTTACCGTACAGACGGATTGAACCCTCGGTCTCCCCGAGGGAATTTTTAGAGATGCACCTATAGTTGCCAAAGTCCCCCGTTTGTAGATTGCGGACTGTCAGCTTCATGTGGGCTCTGGGGGAATAGAGGTTCACATTCATGGAGGGATCACATAGCTGGCGTTAAAGTATACTTTTGGTAAAACGCCTTTACTTGCCTACACGAGGATTTGCGTCTTTAACACTAACAAGGCAACTCTACTATTAATCTAGGTATTACAACTAAAATTATTTTAAAAAACAAGTTATTTCGTGGAATAGTATAAGTTTATTGTCACACAAGCATAATTAAATAAAATGATAATTTTAAGACTAAATGAAATCATGATAAAGTAATTTATTATTTTTAATCCAACAGAGAACTAAGTTTCCGACAAAAACTGAAGTGATAAGCACATTTGTCATAAAACTGATGACCGGTGGGATAGACGTTTTGGACTGAAGATCGAGTCTAGGCAAACGTAGTGTACGGCGCCCTCCAGCTAGGTGGACTGACGATATCCGCAGGGTGGCTGGCAGTGGTTGGATGAGAAGAGCTGAACATCGAGCTTAGTGGCGTGCAATTGGGGAGGCCAATGTTCAGTAGTGGACGGAAATGGTGTATTTGTAATTTTGTTATAGACAACCGTTCGCATTTAACAGCGTAGCTCGCTAAATGGCTCGGATAATTTACTTATTTGTTCTGAGGACGCGAGGCGACGACAGGCCCGCCTCGTTGTTTAGCGTCCAACTTAGATTTGTCAAGTTGTAACTATTACATTCTTTACTTACTTTATGTGGATACCTTAATATCATATTATATTCAATTTATAGTAATTTCAATTTTCTTATATAAACACACAGCGTATAACAGGTATGTATGATATAGGAATAACCCGCACTGCCACTTTCAGCGATCCTAGTACACTCTCTAGCTTTCATTAGTACATTCATTCGTATTATGTAATTGGTTGTGTGGGTACGAGTAAGCACACTTTATAAAACGTCTTCGTAGAATAACCAAGCTGTATGATATTATATGTATGATTAAAATTAAACATTGAAGCGAAATATCGTAAATATAGCATCGCTACACGACTATTGAAAGTTGATTACAAATGAATTATTTCTAGGAACGAATATGTATATACGAAATACACCAAGTATTCATAAACTAATGACGTATTATAATCCACTCGGCAATCCCATTCATGTTTTAAAATTGCACACCAAGGCTCAATGGAAAATATTAGCGACCATATTCTAACAGATATGATAATTTGAAATTAATATTTAGGTAATAAGCAAATGTGAACCCTAAATATACATTAATTGAAACGTAAATTCCTTTGAAAGTGTAATTCCGAGAATGATCGCTGGCAAATACTGCATGTAATATCCGTATACAAAGCTATAATTACACGTATTAGATAAATACTACTAGAACATCCATACAGTACTTGGACTACGTTCACAGTACATCACAAAGTCAGTTGGAAGCTGAACATTAACATACATAGTTATTACACGAGCAAATAGTTCCCTCGAATATTTTCTCATCATTTCAATATTTGTTTTATTGAAATTTCTCTCAGTCGTCCATTGTAATAGTTCAGTAGCACTAATAAACGTAATAATACAGTTTGTAGAATGGTACTATTGGCTGGGACGATCCGGAGCTCAAATTAATTTTGTAATGTACTCGCGGATGAGGTAACAGCTTGCTGTGACGTCATCCTATCTTATACGTTTACTAAACTATCAATTATTTCTTTATAAAATTATTTTATAGCTTTTTTTAATGTAATTCAGTTTTAAATATTGCAAATCAAATAAATAAATTGATTTTGAATTGTATAAACGTATTATTCATGTAAGTTTTTAAATTTTGTGTACAATTATTTAGGATTTTGATATTGCATCGTAAACTCTAAAAAATGTGTCACTTCGCAATATTTAAGTTTGGCACATTTGCATTTTGTGGTTACTGGATACAAGGCTTCAGACTCTTTGAGAGAATATTTGTTTCATTATCGCGTCAAATCAAAAGTTTAGTTTTCTTTAAAACCATACCATTGGGATGGGAAAATAGGCACCAAAGATTAAAAAACGTACTGTCCGAAAAATATAAGGAAGTGGTTTTAACAAACATCTCTTGTTTGTTTAATATTGAAAGTTAATAAGAAGATAATATATACCTGTATGAGTTCTCCTCAGTATTGATGGCGTACTTCTTGGTGGGCAGTACCATAACGTTGTCATACACCCAATAAGAGATGGCGCGCGGGTGCGCCTCTGTGTGACAGTCCACTGTGACATCGGTACCGGCTGGAGCGCCCACCAGCTGGTTGGGCACCCAGATCATTGGGGAAACTGGAACAATACATAATTTGTTACAATGTAAATTATTATAAAACAAAAAACATAAAGTGCTAAGATAGAGTCAATACTAGGACTAAAAGGGATTATTTTATTCACAAGAAGAAGTCTTTCTCGTCTTCCTATTAAGAATAAAATATAAATGATCTACTTGGACTTCAAATGATAAGCCTTTTGGCATGCTCAGTATTCTTGTTAGTTTATTGATAAAGAAATTGAGTCGATCTACCTAATTAGTAATGTGAAAGATAGTTATTGCGATGATTTTAATTCCTTTAAAGTGAACGTAGTATAAGAAGTCAATTTTACAATTATTCTACTACAATGTTATATGAGCGAAAGTTTGCAAGGATGGATGGAAGTTTGCAACTTTTTCCCTTTGGTATAACAACTCCTTAATACATTTGTATGAAATTTAACAAACATATAGATTTGGAATAACACGGGAGGTAACGCGGTCAAAGCCGCTGGCAGTACCGTGAAATTCATGACTACGTAAACTAATTGTGATAATAAAAAATCCGACGAGTATGTATACAGTATGCACAGCTTTAAAAAGCACTAAATCAAAACAAAACTATGCGATAGAAACGTTTACGAGGCGTCAGTCTGCGACACAATTGACTGCGCTTATACAAAGGATGTCTTCACCTCCCACCGCCCGCCATTTTGTTTCACATTCTAAAATCAAATTTCTGAAGCAGACTGTATACTGCATGTATCATTATTTATCGGATTATTTGTTTAAAAAATAATAAATTAAGAATGTACTTGATCAAGTGCTGTAAAAGATGTGTTCTTAAATAAATCTTTGTAACTAAAAGCATGCAGTGCGGAATTAGACCAGCGTTATAATTAAGCCAGATTAAATGGGGCTTATAACAAAAAAAAAATAATATCATAAACCTATATAGACCCACAGTTGAGCAAAGGTCTCTTCTCGCATGGAGAAGGTTTGAGTATAAAATAGTACGCTTATTCAAGGCTAATTGGCGATTTTAAACTTTAGATTTCCTCACGATGGCCACGACGACAATAATATTGCATACTTAGTGAAAATTAAGTCTTTATATCCTCTCTGTCTACTCTTTGGAGATTAAAAAGCTATACGTTTATTTTCACTCTCATATTAAATACAAATTTAAAATAAAATTTCTCACAAAGACAATATTATTCAGGCCGCACGATGTTTAAAGAATATCAAAAGAGGTACTATGATAAAAATAATATTGGCCACATTTAAATACGGTGTATGATACTTTTATTGTTCAGCCAGGGGTTATGAGCCTCGTTCATTGTCTTTTTACTATTATATACCTAACTGATCTTAATCTATGTACTGTTATAATAAAATTGCTATACTCTCTAAGCTTTTATGAAAATACTTAAAGCTGATGTTTTAAAATTATCTATGCAGGCTTTTGGCTGTGTGATTTTTGTCTTTTAACTTTTATTACGGTTTTTTCATTCTTTAAACTAATTCTGTACTAAATGGACTTAGTAATGAATCGAGGTTTATCTAGCTGAATATTTTCTTAGATTCGGTCTTTCAGTTAACTAAGGTAGACATTTTAGTGACCGTTTGGCTGCGTTGTGTGCTCATGGGTATGAACCTCTGGAGACTTTTTAACTGGGGGAGAGCTAAGCTTCGGCACGTATGGGTCAGCTCGGCCGATGTGATATCATGGCCTCACAGAAAACCGGCGTGAAACAACCACAGCGTTGTGTTTTGCCGGAGGCCCAATTCCTCTTCCTCCCCCCATCCCTTCCCAATCCTGAAATATCCGACACCCTTATCCCTAAAAGGCCGGCGACGCACTCGTTACCCCTTTAGTGTTGCGGGTGTCCATGGGCGGCGCCGATAGCTTACCATCAGGTACCGTTTGTTAGTTTGCCGACCCATCCCATAAAAATTACGTGAGTTAACCGTTAAAGATTATAATATAAGGTAAATATTGTAGTGCTTTAAATTATTATAGCTTCTTTAAATTTTTGCCCGACAATGTATAGCGTAAGGTACCGATCAGTATTGGATCTGTTATAAAAATCAAATTATCTCAGATAAAGTGTATGTTCGTTATTTTCGAGCTTATAGGAGAGGGTTATTGGGTCATTAAGTCAAATTCAAAATGATAATTTTTGACAATTCATGAAGATTTGACTATTGCCTAGCGTGTATGAATAATTATATTTCCAATGCTTATTGCTCACGTTCAAAAACATATCATGACAATCTTAAGTTCGCCGTTCGAAGTGACACAAAGAACGCCATCTATTGACAAGCATCGAAACTATTTTGAGATGAACGAAGGTTTACAAAATATTTTATTGAATTTAAAAGTCAAAATTATTTATTATTGACCAAGGCAAATTCCAAATATTATCAACACGCATTCTTGTAGAACAAGTGATCACACGTTATGTGGTGTGAACGTGTGTGTAGAGATCGGTCTAGCGATTGATAAATAGCGGGACGAGCACGCCTGCTGGGAGGTAGGAGTGATACAGATCAATCAATGTACCGTACTCTATGTTATTTACACTTTATTAAATTGGATAGTTACATGTTCTTATAAACCGTGTTAGAGTTAAAATACAGGTTGTGAGAATATAAATATGTTTATAAGTTATAACCATGTAGTACTTGCTCGTAATATACCCATATATAACTAACTCACACAAAAACAACGTTGAAAAATGTATACTACAAATTCTCAAATGAAGTCATGCCACCTTTGCAACACTAGCTTAACAAGCCAGCCGATCACGGACATCATAATCCAAATCGCAAATAAAAGGGAAATGGACAAAATATTAACGGAACATTTCACAAAGTGAATTCCACAGCGACACGACACCCGGCCGGTGTCGGACCGACTCGGGGCCGGAGCTTGCGTACAGATAATCTGACTCAAAACGCTCGTGCAACGAACAAATGGCACCCGTAAAGCAGATAGCACAAAATATGAATATTGTATCAAAACCCTTCTTCGAGATAAAAGTTTTAATCTAACTAAAATGTTGTTAACTTGTATCGAGTTTCAATTGCCTAACTAAATTAAGAACAATACTGAAAATTGAAACAAAAGGTAGAAATGAAATGTCTTGGAAAACCTTGTTTTTAGTTAGCCTTTGTTTTGTTGGGGTTCAAGGTCCTAAGCGTGTTGTAGTGTTTATTGTAACGGTAACAATGTATCTTAATTAATACATTTATTGACAATATTAAACCTAGACCATCTTATTGATGAGTAACACCAGATCACTATCATTTCAACTGAATTAAACGCAAGTAATTACCTACATTTTACTAATAACGACATAATTAGGAACCGAGCAAATTGAATAGCGGGCTTCAACGTCTAGGTAAACACTAATATAGTAGATTGTTATCGACAACAATACGTATAGCCAATAGCCAATAGAATATAGCGGTGTATTGAGGAGCTGGAACAAAAGCTAGACGGGTCCAGGATGGTACCTTGGCACACAATGATGATGATGTCTAGTTCCATGCTGATCTAGTTATGCCTAATGATTAGTAGTCACTGACTACTCTACTACTAGTCACTAGTCAGTATAACTTGTGGCAGTCAATTGCTAGAAGCGCACTAATGCAGTGCTGTGAGCGAACATCGTGTAATTACTCGCACACTAGTAGACACTCGAGCGAGCACCGGGAGAAATGCAAATGTGATTCTACAGCGTCATGCGGTTGAAAGGCAAATATGTTGAAATGTTCCTACTAGTTTATTAAATAACTAGGTGCAAATGTGATCATAATATTTCCCACTGAGTGATTTTAGTTAAATAATTAAAAAAAACGTGCAAACTTCGGTTTTAAGTTACTAATAAAAAGCGTAATGTTATGTTATATAAAAAAGTAAAGAGTTTGTTGAACTGGTTCACTCGCAACGAGCGAGGCCGACGCTGTAATGTTCCCTATAAGTTATCAATTGAAGCAGCACTACGAATGGCTGCAAGTACATACAAACTTGAAGGAAGCAATTTATAAACTTTCAATAATGATGGATCGGCACGAAGTTTGCCGACTGCGCCCGAACTCACCCGACGATTTTTCACATAACGGCCAGATAATAAAATCCACACTTTGAAAACGTAATTCACAACGCTTGAGTTTATGGTGGCAATTTTCACGAGGCATTATACCCCGCACAAGTAATACTCTTTAATATTCTACGACGTTTTAAAATATTTATAAAAACTTTGTGCTTTTTTCATGTTTTTACGATTTCATTATCTCATTCTGCGTTCGCTGTCTGTGCGTTTAAATTAATAATGTGTTGTTTATATTAAAATGACAATCTTCGAGTGAAATGGCTTTATTCTGTAATCGCTTTTTATAACGTAAGATAAAACTCTTGTAATCCTTCCATTATAGAATATGTTTTGAGTGTACAATGTAGCTATATACTGGTACTATATACGTAGTGGGCAAAATGTTTAACTTTTAAAAAGATGTGCGAAGATATTTCCAAATTGCGAACAATGTAAAATAGTTCTTTCTGACCTGACTGGACCACAAAAATATATTCATACAAAATTGGAGTTATTCAGTGAAATAAAAAAACTTTATTTTTATTTCTTTCATTTAACCGTTATTGTAGTTAAGTTAATCCCGCTGACGGTTGCAATTCTGTACAAAAATTAACTGTCACACGTTACTGTCCTCTCATAACCAGACATATGAAAAAGTATTTTAAAAACTCGCCCGAATTTCGCAATTTAAAGGTAACAGAATAATTTTATCGTTTCAGCCTAAATTATTGGAACTTAAGTCACAAAGACTGAGTTGGAATAATTTTCACAAAAAGAACATTCTTTTATTTAAAAACGTCTGTAAGAACCTTTCTTTTTTGCCTTTCAAAGGCGATTAATCGCAAACTACATTTCATCTTGCAAACATCTCAAAGGCCTTTCTTTAGTAAAAGGATCTGCACCACAATCATGTCAGAGCGTGCAATGCGAAAAATATT